AGAGTTTTGGACAGGGGTGTATTTGCGGACAGTTCCTGATCAATAGGCCAGTTTGTCAATACGATAAGTACGGAATTAGCACTCCTCAGCTACTGGTATGTGAATGCATAGCTCATACCGTACTGCCATGTGTGCTATAGTGGCTTTTATTATTATTATTATTTCACAATCACGATGACATAGTGCCAATAAGCATGTGATGCGGGCGATTTTAACCAGCTTACCAGCAATGCAACCGATGGTAAGCTGTGCAGCATCTCATCACTGGCCAGCAGTGGAGAGAGGTAGGCCGGCGAAGCATTCAGGATGGTGGCATGACGTTGGTGGATGCCCGACTGCAGCTGTGACAGGTGACCGGTGTTCGGGTGATACTCTGGCGTGCTGGACAGGACAAGAGAAGAACACCATGAACTGGTACTCACAGAGCAATCAGCATTGCGGAGTACATCCACAGCATAGCCTAGCAGTGCGAGCACAGAGAGACTGAGAGAGTGGATTCCGATGACTTTAAGGAGACTATAGCAAGGGCAAAGGCAAGTCACACGGTCCACGTCCACCAAACACCTGCCTCTAGTCACAGAGCTCTCTGTCCTCATCCATCAACAACGTTGCATCAGATAAAGAAAGCAGGACAAAGGAAGCGACGCAGTTTTGTTTCAATTCCAGGTGATGAAAATCAAAGCTCGAGGTGATGAAAATCAAAGCTTGAGGTGATGTGCACACAGCTACCCAGAAAGTGACAAAACCATACAATGCTGCTCAATGAAATCCGGTTGTGCACAGCATACACAGCCACCCAAAAAGTGACAAAATCACAGCTACCCAGAAAGTGACAAAATCACAGCTAACCAGAAAGTGACAAAGTCACAGCAAAGCACTTTAAAGTACAGTGCTGCTCAATGAAATCCGGTCACGTGAGTCAAGTTTGCGCCTTGCACCATTTCGCAGCCCAATGTTCGCAGGTCTAGGGCAACGCCCAGCACGTACGTGAGTGACTCGACTGGATTTCATTGAGCAGCACTGTAGGTTCTTTCACATTGCATAAGCACAAGACATGAAGTGTGAAAGTTGATTGTCGATGTGCTAAGAACGTGACTTGGTGTAGTTTCACCGTAGTACACGTGGACACACACACACACGCACGCAGAGGGAGACTGCAGCCTACAGCCAATTCCGTCCCATATTGTGCGAACAGCTCTCACATTGGGTGCACTGAGCAACCTCCCAGAGAAGGTGCCTACGTTGGCGTGGACAAAGTAATGTAACGCCTATCATTGTCACTACGTCGCATACAGTCAAACTTCAGTAGAACGTATGAGGGAGTAGTAAAACACTGGTATTTACGTACTCCCTGAGCGTACCTCTAGGGGACATCCACCTCAGTGATTCACAGGTGAGGTACTTCACACCTGAGGTCTGGGAAAGGATACGCAGGGTCGTCGAAACAGCACTCCACACCCGATGAAAGGAGAAAAGGGTGTTAGACCCTGGGTATTTAATGTTGAAGTTTAACTTTTATTTCATGCCACCTTGCTTGTCACACACCAATATCGCAACCACGTTAGCTATAATTTTAAAAGTTACTGTCTCCACGCCGACTGTTCACATTACAAGGTAAGGGTATATATTATTGTGAAATGGGCAATCCTATTTGCACCGGAGGAATTTTTACTGGAGTGACAGTCTATGCACCTCTTATCAGCTGTCACTATCCAAAGATGCCAACGTTTGCCAATTCTAATTTGCTAATCCCAGGAATGCACTATACAGTGAAATTTCCAAGGAAAAGAAGAACTGGTATCTCACCTGCCACTCCCCCGGTACGCATTCAAACATGCCCGCAGCGTTCCAATGGGTAACAGCGGATCCATTACGCTTAGGCAGCGTGCCGGTGACAGATCCAATGAGATTTTCAGAGCAGGGTACGCGCCCAGCACCAGACATGGCTTCCGAAGCTGGTACTGCGCAGCGAGGAATGCCACTCCGAAGACAAAGTTACCTCCGGCCGAGTCGCCGGCCAGGATGACTTTCTCGGCAGTGGTGCCCAGGCTGGTGGCGTTCCTCAGCACCCAGGCGTACGCGTAGAAACAGTCGTTGACGGCACGTGGGTACGGGTGCCGTCATGTAGTCAACGGACACCACGGGAACGTTGAGCTGGTTGGCCCAGTGGCTTAGATAGCTCTGCATGAACAATACACCACAAGGAAGACACATGCATAGGGTATACTAATATTATGTACAGTGATGCTCAATGAAATCCGGTCACGTGAGTCAAGTTTGCGCCTTGCACCATTTCGCAGCCCAGTGTTCGCAGGTCTAGGGCTGCGCAACGCCCGGCACGTACTTGAGTGACGCGACTGGATGTCATGGAGCAGTACTGTACTATTGTATATGGGGCCAAATGAAAACCTGGTGCACATCCGTGGTACACACATGATACAGTATCTTTTTATTGGCTACGGCAGCGGAGAAATGGATGGAGCATGGTGGCAGCAAAGCACACCCATTTGTTTCCAATGACCTAGCACATGTGACTGTGACGTTTGCGCCAGAAACCCTCCACCATGGAAGTGAATGATGACTGCCTTAGAAGGCTCAGAGCTGGCACTCTGCAGCAAAAAGAGAGTGTTGAGCATGGTACAGAACAAATCGTCAACGTCAACCGCACATGGCATGCTAACACCTTTGTTTGTTTGTTTTGAAACTCGGATGTTTTTTCTTCTTTTTTTTCTCTACAAAATCCACATTATCTCCAGACACTGGGGTGAATAATGGAGTGTGCATGTGGTGGTGGGGCCCATTAAGCTCAGCCGAACAGAGGTCTCGGCTTTATAGCTCCATGGACGTACCAAAGGGGGATCGGGTAGGAGTATCCAAAAGACCACGGACAGCTATTGTACTCTACGGTCGCAGAGCACACATACAAATGTCACCTTACTTCTCACAGTGACTTACATGAAGGCCGAGGCACCGTCCATAGAAGCTTCTCCGCTCCATACTCTCAGCAGTGTCCAGAAAGTCGTCCGGAAACTGAGTATGATCAACGATCAGGTCGCCAGTCTTGTCCATGCCACTTGCACGACAGCGTAGATGACTTTAAAAAGCTGCGCGTGATCCCTGAGCAGCTCTGAATGTTCTTCAAGTGCTGACACAGCCTGTGCGAAATCTCTCTTAGTATTCGATGACGTAAGCAGTGACTTGATGATGTCATCAAGCGCCAATGTACACGTGGAGAATATGGATACACTAGATCGCAGTCCGTTGCTGGCTACACCCGGGTAAGCATTGTAACGGGAACATTGCTGCAGCAAGTAAGGGATGGTGCTGAGCAACGACCCGATCGCAGCGCACAGCATATGACAAGCGGAAGCCAATCGGGACTCTGCTCCGGGCTCAGTGCTCCGCCACCGTTGCTGCGCTGTTCCTGCTGGAGACGCTGCACTTGCGCTAGCAGCCCTTGCAACGCTGCGGTTGTGACAAGCGGTGGAGCGGAATAGTGACGCGCTGCACTGCGTGACCCGGGGCATTGCCAGTGATGGTGTGTCACCAGCGACGCAGTGTACTCGCCACGACCTGTGTCCGCTACACTCACAGGGAGCACCGGTATGCTGTTTCAGAACACGGCTACACGGTGCAGCTGGGCAATACGCCGAACTGATACAGCGGGAGCGAGAAAGCAGCCGCTGTGAAGCAACGACAGGTCGAGTGGCGTTACGTGCTACTGTTGATGCCGCCATAACAACAAGCTAGGCAATAAGAGTCCCTTGCCAGGGCAGGCAGTCCAATTGGTTTCAAAGGTCAGGCAAAATCACAAGTCCTGCGGAGCACGTACACGAACACATGTTCAAAGCGCATGCAAGGCAATTGCAAGCGCATACACACACAACACAGTTGTGCACGGCACATTCAAAGTACACACTGCTCACACATGAAGACACATAAGCACATATGCGCGCGCACGCGCACACACACACACCGACACACAAGCAAACAGAGAGACAGACACACACACAGATGAGACCCTGACCAAACACATGTACTAGTAAAAGACCGCATGCACAATGTCAATGTGATGCACACCTCCAAGACGGAATGGGCGCTTTCAATAGTACACATACTACTTCTGGTGCTTTGAAGATCCAGAAAACCCCAGTGTAACACCGGCTTTAGCCTACAGGTTTGTACACACTGTGGGTGACATTGCATACAAGTAGATCATCACATCTAGTACGATTGTTCTTCCACTTCAAGAATCGTCCCTTCGTTTCACAGCACAGAATAGCTGTCTCTCAGCTGGTAATCAGCAGGGACATTCTCTACTTGCGAAGACTGAGTGATTGCCAGCACTCGCCCTTTCCTTCCACAAGCGATGTATAGAATAATAATATCACTGTTCGAGTATTTTTCTTTCAAATCTGAGACCATTGACAGGATCGGAAGGAGAGCTCTACTGCAAGCCAGAAGTCAGGCTGGCGTCAGGCTGTCGTGAAAAGTAACGAATTCAAACCGCTCCTCAACAAAATCATTACAGTTAGCAAAGAAGCTAGTTCCAACCAATCCAAGTAGAGTGACTTTCAGGAACTATTATTAAATCCAACGTCTTGTTCATTCAAAGACAGTGCTTTTTTCGCTTCTGCACTGTCTTTTTTAGTTACCATGGTTACGAGATGTATGCGCTCAGCCGCTCACCTGGGTCACGGCGAAGTGTCTCATTCGCTCTCCCTGCCGGCGTTCCGCAGCCTACAACGCTTTGCGCTGGTGGCCGGCTGTCGAGTCGCGTGCGCGCACTCCTCGTTGCCATGGCGCAAAAACTGCCGCACTCCTAGACCAGCGTCCCTTTAGTCCTTCGCGTTTGAATCTGCAAGATGACGTAGACCATGGTACCATGGTACATTTATGTACGTCATCATGCGCATACAAACATCGTAAAAAAATGTGAAATAAACTGGCCGGATGCTGAAAAGTGAAAGAGATCGAAAAAATAGACTATTAATTTTCTAGTTCTTGCAAGCAGAACTAAGTCAGTGTGTTACTTACTTGCAGAAGTAATCAATGCAATATCAACTGGCTGTTGCAGAGCAATATACAGAGTACAAGCTGCTTTGTTGTCACCGTTGTCATACCCTGGTTTCCTGCAGTTTAACTGAAGTTCGTAATCCTGCTCTACTACCTACTCCTACTATCTACCTGTAGGAAGTGGAGTCATTTTTGACTGAGTTTTATTATCCTTCTCCCTCTTCACCAGCTCTGTGCTGATGTTTTGAATTGTATAATCTTCCTATTGTGAGGGCCACTGACTATTCTCCCATTTCGAGTTTAGGGTGCTTCTTAGTAAACAAAAAGTAGTACTACTTCTTAGTTCATGTAGAAATGGCTGCTCCACGTGAGCCAGACACGTCAGCTGCCGCACTGTCAGCTCAGACTCTTTCTGATCCCGAGCGCGAGTCTATCTATGAGTCCATCAATGAGTTGTGCAACCCAGAAACTCGTGAGGCTGCCTTACTTGAATTAAGGTGAGCCCATTCCTTTGAAGCATGTGCGTGTGCGTCTGTGTTTGTCTGTATCTGCGTATGCGCATGTGTCGGCGTATGTGTGTTTGCGTGTGCGTATGTTTGTGTGTGTGGTGTGTGTTTGTGCGCGCGTATGTGTTTGTGTGTGTGTGTGTGTGTGTGTGTGTGTGTGTGTGTGTGTGTGTGTGTGTGTGTGTGTGTGTGTGTGTTGGCCCTGGGTTCTCAGTACCCAGTTGCCAAAGCTGGTTGGTAAAATAACTCCAATTTCACTTCAAGGTACCAGTGCATCTAGTGTCTGCTTTTATCAAAGCAGCGTGCTGTCTATACTGGTTACCCCAGCAAGTGTAGGGTGTGCATAGGTAACTGTCTTGGCCGTCCTATTCCGATGTACTCCGTGTGGTGTAGACCAGGTGTGCATGGGGGGGGGGGGGGGGGGTCGATTCACATGTTTCAATCAGAATCAGATCCGCTATCGTTGCTAGAAAGAGAAAATCTGTGGGTGCACATACAGTGCATTTGCAGATTTGCGTGCTTCTCTTGCGACGGGCGCATACACGGTACATGGTACATGGTGTGTGTGTGTGGAAGCAGCATACTATCGGGGGCAACCAGCCCCGAAAAAACGTACAGAGTGCACAGGGCTTGGTCATTATCACATCACTGTGTGTTCCATCAGGGTTCTAGCCAAAAGGGGGTGGGCAGCGCCCCCCTCCCCCCCCCCCCCCCTACTCTGTTTGAGCCCCCCCCCCCCCCCTGTTAAAAAGTGCTGCCCCCCTGCTCTGTTTGAGCACCCCCCCCCCCCCCCCGTGAAAAGTGCCCCCCCTACTCATTTCCAATGTTTCGTGTTTTTCATGCAATTCAACGAAAATGCAGCCGAAAGTCACTATTAGATGGTTCATAAACAGGCCCGTAGCAGCCCCATTTTGGTTGGTCCGGCAAGATCCGACTTGATGCTCCCCCCCCCCCCCCCCCCACACACACACATACTCATACATATGCCGGTACATGTACATGACACACATTGTACATGTACATGTATATGCATGTCATCGTGACCATGCAGAGTGACATAGGGCGAGAAAAGGAAGACGGACGTTCTGCATGAGTCAGGAAAAAGGGCATCAGCATGTTGTGTCCGTCCAAACAGAACATGTTGAAGCCTGTGAAGGCATAGCAACAGTATCTAAATGCATGTGATAAAAGAACCAAAATGTACCTTTGGAGGAGGAAAAAGGGTATTGCAATGGAATATCTTCGGTACAAACCCTATCTAGAAAGAATTGGAGGAAGAAAAGAATCCGAACACGTTTCAGGAAGTACAGTGTAGAAACACTCACGGGCATGACTGTCCTCATGACCTTCAGCAGGGTCATACTCCTGATGACATGTACAAAGTAGGTCTACTACCGGCACTACTATGTAATAGAGAGGTTCCGGGGTACGATTTTCCGTGCCAAAATCCGTATGGGTGCTACGGATTTTTTCCAGGCGTGCTCCATACGATTTTTCGGCACGAGAATCCGTGTGGACTGGCTTTCATACGAACCATGCTTCGTATGGAGATTTTGCGTCATCGGGTGCAGAAAGATTTTTCGCGTACAAATTTGGTACGAGAAACATCGATTTTTCGCAGGAAGATTTGATTTCGGTACAAATTTTCAAAATAAAAAGGCATAGCGCGGGAATGTGACGTGTTTGCGATCGTAACCTAGGCAATGACGGCAAACACATAAGTTCCGTACCCCGGAACTTTTCACTGCTCGAAAACGACGTATGAAAAATCCGTAGAGCCTCCACGGATTTTGGCACGAAAAATCGTACTCCGGAACCTCCCTAATACCTCTATACTACTTAGTGCACACACCATCATCATGGGTGGACATCCTGAGCTCCCCCCTTTTTTTTTTTTTTTTTTTTTTTTTTTTTTTTTGGCCGAATATTGGTCCGGCAGCTGCCGGACCTGCCGGACCGCCTGCTACGGCCCTGATAAAGGCACATTTGTCTGGGGCAAAGTCGAGGATTCGCCACATACGTTGCATTTAATGTGGCAAGACAATATTGGAAAGTGGAAAAATAGGATACCGGGTAACTGTTTCCCATGCCGCCCCTACTATTTTTACCTGGCTAGAACCCTGGTTCCATGTTGGCTAGGTGTGCATAACGCCGTAAAGGGTCAACGAATTACATGGATGTGCCGTTTACGGGGGATTGGGCAGTCATCAGGTGCAAGTCTTGCTCTGTATCATGCAGATCCTGTACATTTTCTTTTCTATGAAAATAATATGCAAATAGTGCACCTGCAGATTTTCATGCTTCACCTGCGACAAGTGCACAGTCATGGTGTATGTGTGTGCTTTGTGTGTTCTGTGTGTGTGTACAAGCTGCTATGGCTTCTGCCGTAGCATCGCTATCATGGGCGTCCAATGGTCCAGTGGTGTGTGTGTGCATGTGTGTGTGTCGAAAAAGAAGTAAAAAATGAAAAAAATGAAAAATAGGGATTCACTGGCCAGAAAAAAGCCACTTCAATCAGCTGTGTGGTGGATACTATGCTAAAATTAGTGGCGGTCAATCCATCAGCCTTGCAAGCTGTTGAATGGTGTAATCCCAGCACTAGTTACAATGTCTAACATAGCGGTTCGCTATCATTGCTTCTGCGATGGGCAGGTCTGAGGTGTGTGCATGTGTTGGCATTAGAGAGGTTCCGGGGTACGATTTTCCGTGCCAAAATCCGTATGGGCTCTACGGATTTTTTCAAGGCGTGCTCCATACGATTATTCGGCCCGGAGAATCCGTGTGGACTGGCTTTCATACGAACCATGTTTCGTATGGAGATTTTGCGTCATCGGGTGCAGAAAGATTTTTCGCGTACAAATTTGGTACGAGAAACATCAATTTTCGGCGGGAAGATTTGATTTCGGTACAAATTTTCAAAATAAAAAGGCATAGCGCGGGAATGTGACGTGTTTGCGATCGTAACCTAGGCAATGACAGCAAACACATATGTTCCGTACTCCGGAACATTTCACTGCTCGAAAACGACATATAAAAAATCTGTAGCGCCTCTACGGATTTTGGCACGAAAAATCGTACTCCGGAACCTCTCTATTGCCAACCTGTCGGAAGGCTACCGTCTTGCCAAAGCATTTGGAAGTTGGACTAGGTTCGGCTCCACAATCCAGTGTGTCGTTACTATTATAACTTTCATGGCTGAGGTTGTTGGTATGTCTATTGGCCCTGGGTTCCCAGTACTCGGTCGCCGAGGCTGGTTGGTAAAGTAACTCCAATTTCACTTCAAGCCGAACCAAGGTACCAGTGCATCTAGTGTCTCCTATCATAGCAGCTTGCTGTCTATACTAGATACTCCAGCAAGTGTTGGGTGTGTGTAGGTGTCTGCCTTGGCCGTCCACTTTCTGGTGTGCTCTGTGTGGTGTAGACCAGGTGTGTGTGTGTGTGGGGGGGGGGGGGGGTCGATTTACATGGCTTCGCCAGTTGTGTGGATTAGACAGTTATCTCGCGCTCTTGATCTGTTTCATTCAGATTCAGATCCGCTATCGTTGCTATAAGAGAACATCTTTGGGTGCACATCCAGTGCATTTGCAGATTTTCCGTGCTTCTCTTGCGACGGGCGTAGACATAGTCCATGGTGTGCGTGTGTGTGTGTGTGTGTGTGTGTGTGTGTGTGTGTGTGTGTGTGTGTGTGTGTGTGTGTGTGTGTGTATGTGTTTGTATGCGTTTTACATGCTTGTTAATTTCCAGTAAGAAGAGAGAGTCAGTGAGCAATCTAGCGCCGCTGCTATGGCATTCATTTGGTAAGGTGTTGTCCATGTCCATGCAACAAACTGTCAATTTTACTACATTATACTGTATGACTTAACCCTTTGTTGCTGTCCGATAAATTCACTCGAAATCAAATTAACGCAATGAATAGAGCGAGCTGCGCACTCAGAACAAACACCCTAAGCAAAACATTGTGTCATGTATAATTATCCCTTCAAGATTTTCAAGGCCATCTCATCGGAAGGATTTACTGTCCAATCAAAATCTATCCAATAACTCAATATAAATACGCACACTACAAGTAGTAACTTAGACCTTATTTAGCCCAAGCAATGAGAGCTGAAAGAAATCATACCAATCAACGATATCAAGTGACAAGAAATGAGATAAATTGACCACCAGAAAGTAACCATGCAAACAAAGAAAGTGACAAGTACTGAGCTAAATTTACGATTTACAAACAATTTCAGTGTAAACAAATTCTTTTTCAGCTTGGACAGGACCGATTTGGTGGTAAAGACGTAGATAGACACTCCAGTACACGCAAATATCTTAAAACTACGTGAACGCGACCATGCGGAAAAGCAATCATCAGTATAACAAGAACGACAATCACTATTCTGAACAAGATGGTTAGCAACAGCAGACTCATACACCAAATTGAAAATCAAATTGACCAAGAATTGATGGAGGTACGACAATATGAAATGTACTGTTGAACTGATATACATCTGTCAGTTCAAGTTCCACCGGTATGTGTGTGTATGTGTGGACACTGGACAGCAAAGGGTTAACACTACACTTGTATTTGTTCTGGTGCTACAGACCAGCATGATTTACAAAGTGATTTGTAGTCTTGCCTTCTCATCATAAGGTCCCACTAGGAAGCCAGCGCTGGTAGCAAGGAGTGTGTTGCATGCAACACTGTGACTTCTGTGGCTTATGTGTGTACCATTTTACATGTCAAGAGCAGCTGCTATGACAGCCATGGTCAACTTGTTGCTGACTTGCTTGGTGTGAGGGTAACAGGGATGCTGTTTATGAAGTGATTTGGCTGTTGTATGCCCATGAACCGAGGTGGTTGATCCTCCCACCCCTCCCCTGTCTGGCTTTTGAAGTTTGCATCTACCTCTCGGATATCAAGGCATAGTGGTGACCCGCCAATGCGAATGTTTCTTCTTGGGTGCTTCTTAAAAATTTCGCGACGCTTATTCCTATCTGGCTATTGCTGTACTTTACATGTGTGTGTGTGTGTGTGTGTGTGTGTGTGTGTGTGTGTATGTGTGTGTGTGTGTGTGTGTGCGTGCGTGCACGCGTGTGTGGTGGGCGTGTGTGCGTGGTGTGTGCGTGTTTGTGGTGTGTGTGTGTGTGTGTGTTCAGGTGTTGTGGCGGCTTTGCTGCAAGAAATAATGATGGTTTATCCCTTCATTAATCCGCCAACCCTCAATGTAAGTAGATGTGTTTGTGTTATCAGCTTGGTGGGTGGACGGGTACATCGTATTTACCGGAGGATAGTTCGCATTTTAGTTGCGCTAATTCGAGTTCGAAATCGTAGGTGGGCACTATGCTCCGGATATGAGAATCCATGCACTGCGAAAAGTAGTAGAATGCATCAAACTGTTGCAATGTTTGCCACCTTTGACCCTGCACAAGCCATATGCATGCACTTGTAGTGTCTACTGCCAGCTATGATGATGTTGAACTTGAAGATGAGGAAGATGATGGGCATGAGACCCCATAGGCAGCATGTGTAAATTTGAAATTTCATATTCTTGTCAATGGCCGCACTATATGTTTGTCTTGAGATACAGTGCATTTCAAAACTATAGACGCGTAGGGTTTTTGAAATATTTCAAATTTGGCTGGAACTTTTTGAGAATAGTTTTCGGAATATTGCTCAGGATCGCTCCACAATTACTCTCATATAGTTTCTAAAGGATTGGATAACAGACGCCCAATTTGGAAAAATTTATGCACAAAGTGATCACAGATTTTATGTGGTATAGATGCTGGCATAACGGTTTTTGCCTAGGTACGCGTCTATAGTTTTGAAATGGACTGTAGTAATTCCTTCAGGGTGCTCATTATTCCGAATGCCCAAACTGTTGGCCAAGAAAGGGAGGGGGTGGGCATCATACTCATGTGCACGTTGAACACGGTACTAGACATTTTGGTAATGTAGAATATTTGTTGATGAACAGATGGAACATGTTTAAACTGCCACCTGGTTGTGCAATTGCCTGGGCTGTAGGACTCTTCTTTGGCATGATGTGGAATGTGCATGTCTCACCCATGTGTCAGAGGCCAACTGTGTCCAAGGGCTGCACTTGGCTGGTCCCGTGGGTGGTTGTCATTGAATTGTAGTATCTAAGGAGTGGGTGGTTGTCATTGAATTGTAGTATCTAAGGAGGTGACACAAAACCATAGTAGTACATGTACTGGAAACAGTGTGTATTTCAGCCCCCCCCCCCCCCCCCCCCCCGCATTTAGAAGCTCTACATGATCTGTTATTTGTACACGTGACGGTTTTGATCGAGGCAGTAACGTGCTCCCAAGGACAGTTGTGTCGACCACGTTTCGGCAGGGGATTTCAGAATCCTACTTACTAACGGGGTTTATGTACTAGCCCGACTCGTTATAACAAGGGAGAACCTGTATCCGGACGGCTAGCTGTTTCGACCTTGTTAGGGCTCATCAGCGCAACTCGATATATACACAATCTCTGTCACTCCGTTATGTATGCTATGTATGCTATGTATGCTATGTTGATGCGGGTTTCTACTAGATAGGCATATCTTTGATATTTGTGTGTACTTTTTTAAACTGCTGCCAGGCTCAACAGTCTAATAGAGTGTGCAATTCCCTGGCTTTACTTCAATGTATCGCCTCTCACCCGGAGACTCGGACTTCCTTCTTGGCAGGTTAGCTGCATTATCTAACATGTTAAATTTTAAAACGATAGGAAAGTTGGTTGCTTCACACACGCCACACACACACACAATGTCGGCATGTTTTATAAGTCTTTGCTGAGCTGTTTCGACATTGTTTGGTCTTCGCAGTGGAGCTCAAAGTGACAAGTTGAGGCAATGAAATATAGTGGGCAAAAAAGCATAAATCTTCACTTAGCCAAAGTTAGAGCTTCTACTTGTGAGAACTACATTGAAGATGAGGCGAGGCAGTCTAACCTTTTTGCATGGAGCTGTGCAGCCATGCACTCCAAAGAAGCCAAGGCTATGAGTTAATGTTGGGCTCAGTGGTCTACTTTGAATGCTTTTGTTTTCCTCTGTCTGTCTGCACGCACCTGTTTGTGTGTGTGTATGTATGCGTGTGTGTGTGTGTGTGTGTATGTGTGTGTGTGTGTGCATGTGTGTGCGTGCAGTGTATGTGTGTGCGCAGTGCATGTGTGTGCATCTTGGTATGTGTGTGTACGTGGGTGTACGTGTGTGTGTGTGTGGGTGTACGTGTGTGTGTGCATGTGTGTGCGTGCAGTGTATGTGTGTGCGCAGTGCATGTGTGTGCATCTTGGTATGTGTGTGTACGTGGGTGTACGTGTGTGTGTGTGGGTGTACGTGTGTGTGTGTGTGTGTGTGTGTGTGTGTGTGTGTGTGTGTGCATGTGTGTGTGGCTGGGTGGGTATTGGGGATGTGTGGATGTTTGTGTATTTGTGTACATGTGTGGGCACGTGCACATGTGGCGATATAATATTGCCGTTCTTGTGCATATCCATACATCTTCACAACACTCTCCAAACGGTCTCTGGGCTACACCAATCACTAAAAGAAAAAGAGATATTAAAATTATTCGAATTTTCGGGCAAGGCCCATCTTCAGGAATGGAAGATGGGCCTTTGAAGATGGGCCTTGCCCGAAAATTCGAATAATTTTAATATCTCTTTTTCTTTTAGCGATTGGTGTAGCCCAGAGACCGTTTGGAGAGTGTTGTGAAGATGCATGGAGATAGTGGATGGCTACAGTGGAGTCTTCGCATTTTGAGAAATGTTCTTGTGCATGCTTGGGAATATTCTCTTTCTCCAGCACATGTACCACTCTACTTATATGGATTTCTGCATACGCAGAGCAAGGCACGTCCTTTTGAATACCTTCGGTTAACCAGTCTTGGCGTTGTTGGAGCACTTGTGAAGGTATGCGTGAATCATGACACGTGCAATGTTATTGTAGTCACTGCTGCTGCTGTTAATGCTATGCAATATTGTTTATTGTGTAGGCGAAGTCCTGGGTTGCAGTTTACTGCTGTGTTTGATCTCAATTGGCGGTCTCTTATTCAGGTTCAGCTACATTGCCTCCTCTACATTATACTTTTTAAACGATTTTTACATCTCTCAAACTATCCTCAGAAAACTGAATTTGGAAAGATAGAGGTCCTTGGCTTGCATTCATGTGAGTGAAGGTTCACTTAGTCTTTACTTTGTTGACAAGCAACTAAAAATCATATTGTGCAAAGAAATACTGAGCAGTACATCTGGCCCACTCTTTGAAGTGTAGAGATTGCTAAAAACAAAACAAAACATCTCGATCAGCAGTGAACTTTTTTGTGTAAGCGATCCATATTGCTGGTTGCTGATGGTGCTGTTACACTGTCTTCCGATTGGTACTGCATCATTTGGCAGCAGTGACTTTTTAGTTCAACTGCACTGCGGATATAACGGCATTTTGCGAATAACGACAGAATCTTCATGCCTAGAGCAATGTCCCATCTAACAGAAATACATATGATGAGACTTCGGGTATAAGGACACTTCGCGAATAAGAACACTTTTCTGATGCCCCGCCGAATGTCGTTATACGCAAAGTTGACTGTATAGTGCGTTTCAAAAGTATAGACCTCGAGAATAATTCAAATTTGAAATTTCTTCGGAATATAGCTCAGGCAGCTCACGCAATTTTTCTCATATATATTTCTAAGCGATTGGATAACAGACGCCCAATTTCGAAAGTTTTATGCACAAAGTGATCACAGATTTTATCTGGTATAGATGCTGGCCTAACGGTTTTTGAAACCAGACGTCTGGACTTTTGAAACGCACTATAATTACCAGTACATGTATACATTGAAGTCAGAGGGTGGTTTTGTTTTCTCTTGGTTTATTAGACCGATGAGCCTGAAGTGATAAACTTTTTGCTTACTACTGAAATCATCCCGCTATGTCTACGCATCATGGAGCATGGCTCGGAACTCTCCAAAACGGTTAGTACATGATTGTACACTTGAAGTATTATTGTATTTTAGTACAATGCAGTCAGACCTCGTTTAACCGCACACATCCGTTTCCCCCAAAAATATCCGGACAGGCGAGGGAGCCGGATAATCGAACACACATATCGTATGTTTTCATGACATATGCTGTAAATCGGTAACCAACAATTTTCTTCCGGGTGGCAAGGGATTCGGATAAACGAGGTCTGACTGTAGTACCGTTTCAATACGGAACACCGGCGGTCTAGACGGCTAGCTCCAGATCATGCACCTCGGCGAGGATCGACGCTCTCATGGTTTGGACTTGATTTGGTGTTGGCTCGAAGAGCACTGAATTACATGGATATACTACAATACATGCATGATATGAAAAAGAAAAAGAAGAGGAAGAAACTATAGATATAACCAAAGCTGTATCGCTTCCAACAGAGAACACACTAAAACTGAAAAGCACCAAAGGCAAGAGGCAAGAAAAGCAGCAGACTAGAACACGTCCAGAAAAGGAAGCTACCGGCACTGTACGGCAGTGAGCTAGCCAAGCATAAGTACGGGATCGTGAATGTGCGTGCGCGGGTACGACTGAGAGTGCCACTGCGGCACACAGAGACATAAAAGGTTGAGTCCAAACAAATGGAGTCCAGACGAGGCAATCCACAGTACAAGTAGTGTAACCAGAACTACTAAAAAGGACCCAGGTCACATTACTGCATGGCACAGATGCTGACCAGCCAATAATACACGTGTACGTAATACCAAAACTATATCCGTCTGTACACCGGCTGTGTATCAGTTATGCCCGTCATTGGAGGTATCCTGACTACAAAAATCCATTCACACAGTGCAATCATTCACACAGAAGGCAAGATGGATGTCATTCGGCTCTTTACATCACAAGCCATCATATCATGCGACCATTGCGCTATATTCGATGCACATATCCCCAGACTTCTGTTGAGGCATATGCATGTGTTCTAGCCAGGTGATTATGTCAATGGGGTGGAGTGGTTGACATTATGACTCATACCTCTGCAAGAATGGATCTTGTAATGGTCATGGCAAAGCATGATGTGTGTCCTCCTGTATGCAATCACCAAAAGAGGCAATTGATTTGAAGAGAAGAAAGGCTCAGGGTCAGATATGGGGTGATTGGTAAGAGACGAATCATACTCATCACAAGACCTGCTTATCATGAAGAACATTTTCAGCTCTCCAACCTTGGATGCTGTCGGGATTTGCAAAGACGATAGTTGAGAAATTTCTATTGCTAATAAGGATTAGCAAGACAAAATTCGCGTTCGCGTTCGCAAACATTTTTCAGTTCGCGAACTGGATTGCGAACTTTCGCATTTTTCGTTCGGAAAAGTAGTCGGAACACGAATCGTGGATTCGTGTCAGGGCAGTCATAAATTTACCACGCTGTACTGCCTACGTCGTGTCAACATCATGCATGTGCGAATTCTGTTTGCTAATCCTTCTCATAACGCGAATTCCGTCACTGAGTTCGACTTTCTTTGGAGAGCGAACGCGAACGCGAATTTCGTCTTGCTAATCCTCCGTAATATGTCTCTGGTCTTCCTAATCGATCGAGAAATAGTCGAATCACACCACTTTAAACTCTGTCTACACACACACACACACACACACACACACACACACACACACACACACACACACACACACACACACACACACACACACACACACACACACACACACACACACACACACACACACACACACACACACACACACACACACACACACACACACACACACACACACACACACACACACACACACACACACACACACACACACACACACACACACACACACACACACACACACACACACACACACACACACACACACACACACACACACACACACACACACACACACACACACACACACACACACACACACACACACACACACACACACACACACACACACACACACACACACACACACACACACACACACACACACACACACACACACACACACACACACACACACACACACACACACACACACACACACACACACACACACACATACACACTATGCACTGGATAGAAGTAAGAGTAGATACGCTCTCAAGAGTGTGCAACTCCTGATACCCTTTTTACGGGGTTTGCTAACGCCGAAAACTCACATCACCTGGTTAGTGTTCCCGTTGTACGTTTCCAGCTCGTTTTTAGAGGGCATCGGAGTAATAAAATAGCACTCCCCGACAGAAACCCACTCCGCTTATTCAACTCCCCAGCATGATCATGTCAGATATCTGGATTGCTCGCATGCTATCTCAAGACCCATGAGTGTATTTTGAAGACTTGAATACTCGTATTGAAAGACATGCCCTTATATCCGGAACATTTGTTTCCTGGCGAAATGAGAAAAACGCATTTTTCGCATATAAGGGTATGCACTTGTATGTGGATGAATACAGTAGCAATTTGTGACATTGACCATACAGAAAATGATGCTGTTTTTCCGTACAATAGAACACACAACCGCTGCCTTGTAGTACAGGTACATTGTATGACCATGATGGCCTGATTCATAGTGAATAATGGATCCCGACTACCTGCCCAAACTTTTTCTCGCACCTCACACCAGGCTGGGAACGCTACAGACAGTACTCCGGGTCAGTAGTACAGAGATGTGGAGGCCTGGCCACCTGGCTGCTACAGCTGCACACTGCGCGCACTACTGTCTCTACATGATTCTGTACAGCAGCTGTCAATGCCGAAATCATGCATTTCCGGGTTTATTGCGGTGAATTTTGTCAATAACGCGGTGCTTCACATGGCATTGCGGTTTTCCACGGGGACAGCCAATTGCTGCATAGTGAGGTCTGTGTGTGTGTGTGCCTGTCTATAATACAGTTGTACTGTTGTATTTTATGGATCCTTTGGTTAGACCTGTGCTTGTACGTCATCGTTCGGATAACCAAACTTTTGCTAAATTGTTTACCTGTCTGTCTGTCTGCATGTGTCTGTCTGTCTGTGCCTGTGTATGTCTGTGCATGGTACATGATGTATGTGTGTGTGTGTGTGTGTGTGTGTGTGTGTGTGTGTGTGTGTGTGTGTGTGTGTGTGTGTGTGTGTGTGTGTGTGTGTGTGTGTGTGTTTAACCCCTGTGTTCCTTCTTGTAGGTTTCTACCTTTATTTTGCAGAAGATTTTGCTTGATGAGACAGGACTGTCATACATCTGCCAAACTTACGAGCGATTTTCGCATGTGGCCATGATTTTGGTAAGCAGCAGTGAGAACCATGCATTTCACTCACATCTGCGTATCATGCAATCCATTAGGAAAATCCATGGACGGTTGTACCTCAAACTACCAGTATACTGTTGTCTTCAAACCAGTGCCTCTTCTCCCTGCCACATAGTCGCTTATGTAAAACAAGTGACGAATCCTCGGCCTCAGCCTTTATTATGTACATTATATTCGCGTAGATATTAGACGAGTCCGAAGGCTGTAGCCGGGGCAAGAGCCTTGTGAGACTGATAAAGGCTTTTTGGAACATGCTGGGGCCGTCCATAATTATCGATCTTTTACACCAAGAGAAAACGTTATGTTTATGGGTGGATGGGTCAAGGGGAGTTTCGTTTTGAAAAAAATATTGACATGTGAGACATCAAGGCATTCTTGCCGTCAAGTCAATGTATTTTTCGTTCAGGGGGGTGGGTGGGTGGCGGAGGGTCCTAACTAACTAAAATTTGTGCTTGCATTGGTGCCTGTGTTGGTGCGTGCTGTGTAGGGTAAGATGGTGCTATCCCTGGCCAAGCCCAAGGATCAATCTGCCAGGTTGTTGAAGCACGTAGTCCGTTGCTACTTGCGTCTTTCTGATAATCCCAGGTAAGATGATTGACGATTTCTGTTATACCTATTAGGAGTTTGTCTAAAGTGCATTGATAGCCTTAGAAGAACCTAGTTTGAAGTGTTCATGGCCTAAAGGCAACACAGCAGCACCTGCACTTGGTTTACTCAAGTAACAAAACCAACACAATGGCACTAACGGGTATCCACTAAAATTTGAGACAAACTTCACATGCCTGTACTCGGGTAATTTTTCATGTTTAGGCCAAGTAAAAATTTTGATTGTTTATCGTCCGCTCCCGCCCCGATTTTTCGGCCTCCCGGCTGAATTATTTTATTTTTTAATTCCAGTAAATGTACTGTATGTACTTCAATCTGTGCCTATACGGCCTCTAATGAGCATGGCTGTAGATCTTGGAAGGCAAAGTCCGCGGATTGAATCATACATGTAGGTGATATAGGCTTGAAAAGTGAAAGATATTATCAGCTGAATCATACATGTAGGTGATATAGGCTTGAAAAGTGAAAGATATTATCAGCTGCCTGGTTCTCTTTGTTGTCCTACGTTGGTTGTTTCACTTTTCCCTATTTGCATCCTCAAAATTATCTTGCAAGATGTTATTCATGGCTGACGATTCATCAGCTGCATCACATAGATTTATCTCACTCGGTGCAAAACGGCTTAAAAAAACAATTGAAGAAAGAGGCATGTCTACACTACAGTCCATTCATTGGAAACTGGCACCCTAACTTTTTGGTGTCTCTCTCACATAGTTGTAGATATCGTGAAAACAACAGTACATCCTGCATTGTGTGACCCGTGCAATTACTCCCTGCCACATTTGAGGGCAGAAAAATCCAAGAACAGGGAAATAGAAATTCAGCCAGGTTTTACAAAATTAGGACAGGTATGCCATGGCAAAATGTATGGAGAAGCAGATCCAAAACCCAGATTTTTGAGATTTAAAGTGGGTTTTTGATCCTCAATTCGGCCCAAATCCGACTTTCAAAAGCCAGCGGGCCAGTTTCCGATGAATGGACTGTAGGGGTTGCGAACACCTACCATACAGCCATACATGCAAAATATAAAATAAAATAAAATACCTCCCGTCCGCCCCGATTTCTCAGGAAAATCTGACGATAAACAACCAATATATTTTACATGGCCTTATATGTTGAAGATTGCTTTTGGCGAATCCCCCATTCATAGTAACCATGGAAAATAAAATGGCTGCCATCTTTCACCGTGTGCCAGAAAAATGGAGCTCATGAAGTTGGAAGATAGGCGAAAGTTGATTGGATAGTTCTGGTTGCAAAATAGAGATAAGGGTGTTGCATTCACTGTAAGACATTGTGTAGACAGTGGATTGCCACGTAGCGGTGTTTACAGGGTAGTGAACATGTTTGAGAAGGTGGAAATGCTGAAAGAAAAGAGGAAAGTGGTAGAAAAGCTGTCAAGCTGACTCAAAGGAAGAAGCATTGGGTGCCGGCGGATGCATGCACCGTGGTGGGAGTGTCAAGGAGGAGGCTAGGGAAGAAGCACGGCCTGAGCAAGTCCTATGTTCACAAATTTAAAAGTAATGGTGTGAAGCGCTACAAGTGAAAAAACGGCTCCAACCTGAGCAAGAACAGAAGCAGAAGCAACGTCTCCGCAGGCTCAGCCGCCAACATCACCAGTGCAGATCATCATGGATGATGAGAGAGCTATTTCCCTTTCAAGCATGATGAAATGCCAGGAAATGTTGGCTACAACTCGACTGACAAGGAGAATACACCATTTGAGCCGCCAGATATAAGACCAAAGCGAAATTCCCAAAGAACTCCTTGTGTGGCTGGCTATCAGTGAGAATGGCCACTCTGCACCGCTCTTCCGCGAACAAGGCATGGCTGTGAATGGTGAAGTGTACCGAGAGGACTGCATTCGTGCTCCGCTGGTCCCATTTATCAATGAAGTAGATGGAGAGGATCAAATTCTCTTCTGACCGGATCTAGCCAGTGGTCACTACGCATGGGACACAATTGCCCTTCTCCAGGAGCTGGAGATTGATTTTTGTGCGCAAGGACGACAACCCGCCAAATGTACCCCAGCTCTGTCCAATTCAGAATTTTTGGTCTCAGTTGAAAGATCTGGTGTACAAGGGTGGATGGCAGGCTGATTCCGAGGATCAACTGAAACGACGGACCCGCTTCTGCCTGCGCCAAATGGACTGGGAAGCCGTCCAAGCACAAAACTTGTGCTTGATGTCGACGCTAAAATCAAAATTGAGGAAAGCAACAGATAATGGTCCCAGAAGTGTCTTGTGAATGACTGACTGGATTATCACATCTTTTAATGTATACACACCAGAGTATGTGATGTAAGTATCTTATAACCTGTACATAGAAGCAGTTACAGTTTTGTCTTCTTTTTTATTGAGTAATGGCATTTCTCTTTTGCTATCTTTTCCCTTCTATTTGACAGGGCCAGAGAAGCGCTCCGCCAGTGTTTGCCAGACCAATTAAAAGATCAGACATTTGTTGCGGTTCTAAAGGATGATAACTCGACACGGCGGTGGTTACAACAGCTGATGAAGAATCTCACGGAGAGTGGCGCTGGTGCTATGATGTTGAATGGAGAGCCACAGCGTATGTAAACTGAATGGAGTGCCACAAAGTCTGTGAGCCATGATCATTGGCTGTGCAACATTTAAGCTGGTGATGTTTCTGTTGAAACAAAAGAGCTGCCTCTGGTTGGAATTTGTGTTGCTCTTCTTTCGTCCATATACCCGGGACTCTATCGTACGGTACGCTGTGTTTGTGTTGTATATAGAGTTATATAGAGTTATCTGTGCCCGTGCTGTGTCAGTTCACGTGCAATTGTGCATTCATATTCATATGTTTGTCCATAGATGCATGTACATGTGTGTGTGTGTGTGTGTGTGTGTGTGTGTGTGTGTGTGCGTGCGAGTGCGAGTGCTGTGCTAGTGCGAGTGCTAGTGCTGTGCTAGTTCGAGTGCTGTGCTAGTGCTAGTGCGAGTGCTGTGCGAGTGCTGTGCGAGTGCTGTGCGAGTGCTGTGCGAGTGCTGTGCGAGTGCTGTGCGTGTGTGCCTTGCAGCTGGGCTAGGCATACCGTCCCCTTTTTTAGTATATGCTGGGGTTGCAGTTTACATTTATGTTTCACACTTTACCTATCTTCTGTACATATTCCTCTTAGATTTTGAACATACCAATGCCGTCGCTGCTGCTGCTGCCATCATCGGCGTTACTCATGTGCAATCACTGATGTTGATTGTTGCTGCCGCTGTTGCCCTTTGTTTTGCGTATATACATACCCCCCCCCCGCGTATCTTGCACTGACTTTCAACGCATTATAAGCCGGTGACCTTTTGCTACGTTTTTGGTCTGGATGTACCATCATGAATGTCAATCTGTGTGCTTTGACTCCCATTGCGTGTACATGAGCTGCTTGTACCACTGCTTGGTATTCCAGGTGCGGCCTTGCAACCACCCTTACACAGCTTCGGTGACGTCACATTGTGAGTGTGCTACAAGTACTTACATGTACATGTATGTATGTCTGCTAGCTATTATACAGCCTGTAGGGTAGCAGGCGTAGAGTCGTGTAGCTAACTTACATGGCGTATTGTACATATGTAGAGACTAGAATTTACCGTGGTCTATACCCAGTGCATTAGAGCTTTTGGCATCAGGTGATAAAACTCGTACATGTGGAGACCCTGCCTGTGGCTGTGCGTCTATGAATACCCATGCGTATACTTGATTTCTTTGCACATTTGCTTGATCACTTCAAGTGGCCACCGATAATCCACTTCAGATTTCCTAAAATATATTGAGGCCGCACCTGCGGAGCAAAATCAGTACGGGCCTAGCACCTACATGAAATCTTCAAACTCGACTCTGTACTCGACAACTAACTTGGCCAATTATTCGCAAAGAAATCATAATTCATCGCCATTGCGATCGTGCACCCTACAACACACTTTCAGAAATGTTCGTGCAGCATTTCTTTCCATTGCGAGTGCGCGATCGACACTTCCATGACAACCCGCAGACAGGTGACCAATCAGAGTGACATGTAGATATATCTCCCTGTTAAGATGCACATTATTCCCGTAGCTATGCAAAAGACGTTACTTCAGTAACGTCCCGTACAATCAAAGACATCAAAATTGTACAGTATAAGGATGTCGTATAGCATGTCATACAACAGTACGATGAAATTGTGGGAGAAACCAGCGACCGCTTGGGAACGATGAACATTACAACAGTCTTATTATATTGTGAGTGAGAGTCAGGCCAAGTTTCTGAACATCAGTAGCGAGTGCTATCCCAAGCATTATGTTAGCATTACAAAAGCATAGACAGGATGCGTATTATAGGAGACCCAAGTTGCTGAAGATCAGTAGTCATTGCTGATAACGTGCAGAAAAACTAAATCCGCAGCCTCTTTTGCCGTCGGACAGTGCGTATTATGTGTGTAATGTGCTCCACAGGCAACCATGCATTCGGCCGTCAGCAACAGTTTTAAGCACAAGCACACTATCAAGGCAAGGGCATTATTGTCTTGTTGTATTGTATGGAATATAATTTTACCTCATTGGCTCAGCAGGTCAATGTATTACTACAAAAAGGCCAGAAAATCCGATTATGAGGGGCAGTTCTAATCACCTGGTCACCACGCCAGCAGGCGACAACTTTCACACCAAGGTTCAACTCGAGTGACAGGACTGCACCCAAAAAAGGTCAAACAGGCTAGTAAGTTGTACCCTGCAGGCACGGTGACCAGCTGACTGGTGTACGCAGGAGCACGTGACCGCTTGTTCAACCATGTTCGATTGGGAATAAAGGAGGAACGCTGCATCGCAGCCTTTTCGGACCAAAACCAGTCGACTCAGCGTCCAAAAGACTACAACATATGGGCCAATCGCGGTCATCCGTGCTTTTATAAGAACGAAATGGCGCTTTTAGTGACATTTTGCATACAAATCCCCATCTAGTAGAGCGCATTCACCCAGTTTCGGTGGAAGTGCGCGAGTTCGATTGGGATTAAAGTAGGAAGGGAGCGTCTCAGCTTTCTCGGACCAAGACAATTCGACTCAGCACCCCGAAGTCTACAACTGGTGAAATTTTAATTTTTGCCTTAACTTCCCCTTTAACATCCGATGATGGTAAAATAGGCTTTTAGCAGCACAATTTCAAGTCAGTTTTCAAATAGAAAGAGGCCCTAAATATCCAGGGTGGTCCAGCAAGACTGGATCAAAATCAACATCAGTTAGTGAATTCAACAATTGCCAATGTTTGGCCATTACCAAGGCCAAAACACCGACATTCCTCCTTCCCAGGCGTCGTTTCCAGTGATGAGTATGTAGCTGTCATTATGCTTCCTCCTCCGGGGCTAAATGTGCTGTCACTGGAGGTTGATACCAGCGGCTATGACTCTTGTAGTTTTATTCTATTTTACCGTAAACGTTGCGCACATGCAGACTGAAAGCTCTTACAATGTCACTCCCTGAAGGAATATCATTTTTGGGGGCGGACAGAACATTGGCAATAGCAAAAGTAAATATCGCGTGACTTTTTGCAGACGCTGGCATTGCTGGATTTTACTGAAATGACTCAAGCCAAGGTTTAAAAAGATTACGAATCACGTCGTCGTCTGATATCACTCACTTGAGTCACTAACTTCAACGGGGGGTAGTTCCACCTGCGGTGCCGGTAGGTGAGCGCGCGTGGAACTCAGCTTAGCGCTGCCTTGCCAACTTTTTGCTTTGTCGAGAGTTCGCGCGGGGAGAGGAGCGTTTCCTTCACTGCGGCCAGTTCGGGTGACTAAACTGATGAAGTAGAGGTTGCGACTTCGGTGTGGGAGCAAACCCATTCCTAAACTGATGAGAAGTAGGAGAAGTAATAGTTACTTGCTGCTTGACTTTCCGGATGCACGCAGTGAAGTAAACCGAGTTGCGAGAAACAGACGTACTACATCATGATGTAGACCCGAGTGAACGAAACCATGCCGTGAGCAGACATGAAGGAAACCATGGAAACCGTGCCGCAAGAAGACACGAGCGATCTATCATCTACTGATAATCATGATCTAGCGAAGGAACTCTTCTACCGGTGGTACTACTGCCACTACTGCTAGCGCAGCTGTTCTTATTACTTGTCGAATCGACTGCAAGAGGAAGAAGGAAGCAGTACGTCGTTGAAGGTTTCACTGTATCGGACCGGGACAACACAATGCAGAGCCGTGACTACTGCAATGGCTCTCGGTCAATGACAGTGAAGTGGCAGGCAACGTCAAGCCACTGACCAGTGAAAGTAAGTTGTTCAGTTATTAGGCCGGGTCGTCGCAAAGTTTATTTTGTCGTCCCTGAAACGAACATCGTTCATTTCGTACTCGGACCCATCACCTCTGTCTGAAATGAACGCTGCTTCCTAGGCGGGACGACGAATATCGCATGCATGTCAGTACAATGTAGACCCAGGTGCTCAAAGTCCGGACAGGTATCCTAAGCCCATACACCCGTAATTTCATGTTCTGTTATTAGGCCAACCTTTGTTAATTCATTGTTTAAAGGGGAAGTATACCCTAAAATCAAATTTTCACCAGTTGTAGTCTTCGGGGTGCTGAGTCGAATGGTCTTGGTCCGAGGAAGCTGAGACGCTCCCTTCCTACTTGAATCCCAATCGAACTCGCGCACTTCCACCGAAACTGGGTGACTGCGCCCTACTAGATGGGGATTTGTATGCAAAATCTCACTAAAAGCGGCATTTCGTTCTTATAAAAGCACGGATGACCGCGATTGGCCCATATGTTGTAGTCTTTTGGACGCTGAGTCGACTGGTTTTGGTCCGAAAAGGCTGCGATGCAGCGTTCCTCCTTTATTCCCAATCGAACATGGTTGAACAAGCGGTCACGTGCTCCTGCGTACACCAGTCACCTGGTCACCGTGCCTGCAGGGTACAACTTACTAGCCTGTTTGACCTTTTTTGGGTGCAGTCCTGTCACTCGAGTTGAACTCGAGTTGAACCTTGGTGTGAAAGTTGTCGCCTGCTGGCGCGGTGACCAGGTGATTTGGGCACCCAGGAGCACGTGACCGCTTGTTCAACCATGTTCGATTGGGAATAAAGGAGGAACGCTGCATCGCAGCCTTTTCGGACCAAAACCAGTCGACTCAGCGTCCAAAAGACTACAACATATGGGCCAATCGCGGTCATCCGTGCTTTTATAAGAACGAAATGGCGCTTTTAGTGAGATTTTGCATACAAATCCCCATCTAGTAGGGCGCAGTCACCCAGTTTCGGTGGAAGTGCGCGAGTTCGATTGGGATTCAAGTAGGAAGGGAGCGTCTCAGCTTCCTCGGACCAAGACCATTCGACTCAGCACCCCGAAGACTACAACTGGTGAAAATTTGATTTTAGGGTATACTTCCCCTTTAACGTCCTTTTTTTCGCGAAAAGGTACGCGGGAGGGCGGAAAAAAAACAAAAGCCCATTCCAAAAACTGGAAACCCCAATCAAACATTTTGACCAGTAAAGCATGTGATATAATATATTTGGGTCTAACGGCACTTGCAGGCATAGAACAACACTCTTTGATGGTACATTGGAGCACATGCCTGATGAATCCAACAAAACAGGTACATAGCATGGAGTTAGCATGTCATGAATTCATTACATCTGGATTTTTACTAGGACACACACCGTACGATATTTAAAAGCCAACAAAAAAAGAAAAAAGAACACAAGACAAAGGCATGCCCGGGAGGCAAGATTATACAAGGTGTAAGTTTAAGGTCATGATCGGCACACTGTGAAACTACACAATCATGTATTTACAACTTCGCATATTATTGGTACTACTACTTTCTTGTTTTTTTCCGGTCGGAGGCAAAAAGGTACGCGGGCGCGGACGTTAAACAACGAAAAAAGAAAGGGTGGCCTTATACTCGAGTCAAATATTTTATCGAGGGGACACTGTGGTATGTTCTCCTGGCATACCAATTTTCAGGGGGTCTACAATAAGCAGAAGTCCTATACCACGCGAGTGGGTTTTCGAGTGTCCATACGAAATACAAAATTACAATTCATGCAAAAATCAACTTAATTAAGGGGTCGTCCGTAAACATCGATGTTTTTTTAGAGACGATATTGGTGCTTCTCTCCCTTGACCCCCCCCCCCCCTCCCCCCAGAAGACGCACATGTACATCTAGATCATGGAATCAATATTTTTGGATGCTCATTTTTTTCTCATTTTTTTGTCAATAATATGAACCCAAGATGGCAAGTTTGCAGTATTTATATGGTCTAATTGAGAAGGAGAGCATTATGACTTTTTGGTCGCCCTCGAGAACACTTGTGGCCAGCAGCCTTCTTGTGCTGCATTAGCCCATAGTAGGTGGTGAAGGCTAAGCCACAAGTAGAAGCACCATCCAAATACGAGCACACATGCTCCTTCTGCTGCCTGGATGTAGTGCCTTCACTGCTATGACTC